TTTCACATTTAAAAGGATCTACAATCCAACTGACAGTACGTGTATCAAGATCTGGAAAGTAATCTGAAAACCGCTTTCTGAGTTTGATAAGATGTCTTAAAATTGTATCCTTGATGTCAGCAAAAGTAATATTTTCGCAATCTTCCAAAAACGAAGCTAAACTTGAAAAAGAAGCTATCTTGTTCTGTTCTACTTTCTGTCTCCAATATTGCAGCTTTAATCCAAACGCTGACAGAATTTCTCTCGCTGAAATGATATTCATATTCTTTCCTTGCAATTCTTTGTTTAATATATTTATACTCTCAAAAATGTCCGCTAAATATGTGAGATATGCAATCCAGGAAGAGTTTTTAAACTTATCTGCGAGAATATTTTTTTGATCAACCATAAAAATTTCGACTTCAGTTTTGAGAGTCAATACTCGATTTAGTACATTTCCGCGAGAGAGCTACCTTACTTCTGTATAATAAATTAGGTCCGTATATTCAGCTTCACCGTCTTGACATAATTCACGAAATAGCCGCGTGTTTACTGCATGTCCCTTGATAAAATTTACAATCTTGATGACATCATGCTTACATCGGCTTCCAGTGTAGGTTCTAAATATTTGACCATAAGGGCCTGGCGATGGATCATACAGTGAGTAACTTCAATATTTGGGTTATTTTTTTTACGAAAGCCGAAAAACCATTAATATGACCCAGCATAGCTGGAGCTCCATCCAAGGATACAGAAATACAGTTTTCCCATTTTAAACTTTGCGCATTGAAGTATTCATTGACTTTATTGTAGACATCAATTCCACGAGATCTCAACTCGAGAGGAGAACAAAACAGCAATTCCTCTTCAAAATTATCTGCACCTTTATAGCTGTGAATTGCTACTAAAATCAGTTGTCTCATCAAGCTGAATAGCAAAATATTTAGCCTGTTTTAATGCAAAAATAACCTGTTCCTTCACATTTTCTGCTAATATAGAAATTCGTTCTTTCATAATTCTCGCAGACAAGGGCACTGAATTCAGTTTCTTTGCTTCTTTTTCACTACACATAATCTCTGCCACTTTTACAGCAGCTGGTGTAACCAAATCTTCACCAATAGTGTATGGTTTCTTATTTCGAGCAATCAACCAGGCTACTTCAAAGCTAGCCCTTGATGCTGAACGCTGATCAAATGTACCAAACATGTTGCTATTCAATCTTTGTCTTTTAAGAGATGTTTCTAAATTTTCAAAGTATTCACGCGGTTTGTAAGACAGGTGTGAATGCAAATTATCTAAATGTTTCTTCAATTGACTTTTTTTGAAAGATTCTGAAGTCAGTACCTTCATACATACAACACACTGTGTTTCATTGTACCATTGTCTTCTATTTGTGTAAAACCGTAATTAAGGAATTCGTCTTGGTATGTTCTTTTTCTATTTTCTGCCATCTTAAGGGAGACAGAAAATAATAAGTGTAAAATACTTGAATTAAATTTTCAAATTGCCGATTACCTTGATCGATATAT